GATCCTTTTCTTTCTTCTCAGGACCAACTGTTTTCCTAAACTATGTCGCAGCTTCTTGGATGAAAAATGTCAGATCCGCTCTGTGCCTTGTTAGTGTATCCTTTCAAATCCTCTGTATCTGAGGAGAATTTTCTTGAATTATCCCTCTGAATAGGAGTCGCATCGCACTCACTCCTGGTGACCCTACAGACGGAGGAAAACTGCTCCCTGGGACTTGGCGGCCATCGCTCTGTAAGAAGGCAGCCTGCTGCCTCCCTTTCTCCTGTGGCTTCTTTCCGGTCTTGGTTTTCCAACCGCTCACCTTCAGCTAGCAGCAGCCCCGTGCTTAACCCACGCTGCACCAGGACTCCTTTTCCCGAGTTACGCATTGTATCATTCTGCCCGTTATTTAGGCTTTCTTCTGCTGTGGGATGTATTGTTATCTTTGTTGCCAACATTCTGTTTATCATTTTTCTCTTGAATCCTTCATTTCTTTTTGACTTTAAAATTTTTCTTAGTTTGTCTCATTTCTAATTTTCATTTCTCAAAGCCTCTCTCATTTGCGATTGTGTTTTGGTTTAGTCTTTGCTGCCAGAGCGATCATTTAGTTTTAGCACTTTTTCCCCCTGAGATTCGTCTCTTTTTCTCCAGTCATCTCTTCCGAATTTGTATCATTCCTGCTTGCAGTTTTCTCTTTGGATCTTGATATTTTCTTCATTTCTTTTAGCTTGTTTCTAAATAGCAGGGTACAGTTTGAGCTGTTTGCCTGACTTGTCTGTGATGTGATTGTGTCCGTAGTAGGGATGGTATTCTCGTCCCCTTTTCTTAAGAGAACCTGAAATTTCATCGCGATGCTGTTGATCTCTACACTTACATCAGTTCGAGAAGTGAAGTCGCACCCTGGACTTGCGTGAGCTCGGCTAGGTTTCCATGGTTTGAAGCTCCTCCTTCTGCTGTCTGCTCCTGCCTCTCCTGTGCACCGGCCCTTCTCTTCCCTTTGCCCCTCCTGTTCTTCTGCTAACTGGCCTGTACTTCTGGAATCTTGTCCTCACCGTGAGACTTTACCTTAGAAGGGAGCTGTGGGTTTCATTCTGAGTGTTTCTAGGGCCCAGGCTTCTCCAAAACTGTAGACTGCCCTTTCTCCTTATCCAAAGGAACTGGATTCTGCAGCGTGCGCTCAAGTTTTGCCTGGATCGCTAGTAAATACCTGTTAATTTTGAATTTCCTCCGTCCTCAGAAGAAATCCAAAATTAGATGCACTGCTGCAAGTGCATGTTCTCACTCACTACTCTCTCTGTCTTTCTCATCTACAGATGGGACAATTATGTAGGGCTTTGTTCTCACTTTTTTTTTTTGGAGGGTCATGGACTAGTTAGTTCCCTTGTGTTTTTACATAGATGTTGTTCATAGGTCTGTGGTTTTACTATTTTAGTTGCTCTATTTTTATGGGGGGCTTTGCAGAGTTTAAAAAGTATTTACTACCATTTTCTCACAGTCTACCATAAGGACTTTAAAAAATGAAAATAGTAGTCAGGCAAGATGTTCTGTGATTGTATTTCAACATTGCAAAGATGGTTAATTTTAAAATCCAGGAAGCAATCATAGCAGCCTTGTAGATATTACTGAGATGTGGTTATATGGGATTCAAGGTGGACTTGGGTCTTACATACCTTTCCATGCTTGTCGCAAGCAACAGATGTATCTGGAAAGAGAAACTGGCCCCGTTCACAGGAAATGGTGAAGGGACTGCAAGCTCTTTCACTGTCAAGGTGAAAGGAAGTAGACCTGGTTAAGTAAGAGACCTGGGGACCGTGATATTAAATATATTTGGTTTGTCTCTGAGAGTAAACTGAGAACAAAGGGGTAAGCCTCCAAAGAGATAGATTAGAGATTCACGTTAGAAGTAAGTTTCTAATAATCAGAGAACTCTAATGAGGGTGTAATTTGCCGGTGAGTAGCGCACAGGACCTGCCTGAATTCGTGCCTTGGGAAGGGAGTTGGCAGCGAGTCCTCTTCACGAGCCATCCACTACTGCAGAGTAAATGGCTGGAAAACAGTATTAGAGTTGGCTGTACACTCTGAGTCCACGTCGTCGGTATGTTTTTTCAATTCAGCACTTAAACACAAAGTGGGAAACTGACCAACGGCTCAAAGCAGACAGGCGTTACCTCCGAGATGCCGTGAGAGCCAAAGCACAGTGTCCTCACCTCCTTTCATCTCCGTGTGGAGATGCTCAGAATGTGTTGATCGAATTAGATGAGAGTTCCATTGATTAGAGATCCTACTTGGGAGAGCTAATCTTTCTTCCTAGGTTAATCAGGGACCTATTTTCTGGGGTGTCAAGGAAGTCCGTTTTCATGTGTTCTGAAATACTGCCAGCTTGAACTACTTTGAAGGCTGACATGATACAAAGCAGGTGTCAGTCATGCTGTGGGTTGCACCCACCCTCAGGTTCTGATGAATAAGAGTGCCGCCCTCATTCTCTGGAGTCTTAGGGAAACATTGTTAAAGAGAAAGAGAGCAACACACACACACACACACACACACACACACACACGAGTCTTGTACGAAATGATCTCACAGTAAGGAATCTATAACCACGTGAAAAGTGATTGAAACAAAAATCTAAGTTTGATGCCCTTAAGTGCCTTAACTGTAACAGCAGTTTTATCAAACTTGTTCCCAGAATATTGGGTCATTAAACTTCAAATCTTGAATGGCCATTGGAGATCCCCGGGTTGAAAAGTATTGCCAGGGGCATAGCAATGGGTTTTAGTGCTCTGTGAACGTACTAATATCGCATGCAGCCATTGCATGTTTGTGCACATAGGCCTTTTTCTGAAGGAGAGGGTAATTTCCCTTAGAAGCTCAAGTGCCTTGATCCTAAAAACGTTTTAAGAATTAATGAATTCTAAAAAAAAAAAAGAATTAATGAATTCTACAACATAGGGCCTTGATCGTGAACATGTTTAAGAATTAATGACACAGGGCTGCAGTGAGCTGGAACCGGCGTGACGGCACTGAACACCAACAGCCCCGTTCCCTAGCACGCCGAACACTAAGCGCTGAAGGCCAGAAGAGTTGTAGAGTAGCACGAAGAACATCAAATACGGAGAAGGCCAACAGCCGGGAGAAAGACAGGAAAGAAAAGACCACAATGGATGTCCGAAGAGGCTCTAGAACTTGCTCTTGAATGTAGAGCAGGTAAGGTGGGAGGGAGAAATGAAGAAAAACGCTAAACAGAAGAGTCCCAGGGGCAGCACGAGAAGACCGAGCAGAGCATCACAAGGAAATGTGCAAAGAGCTGGAAATGGAAAACAAGGAAGAAAGGACTTGCTCAGGAGCTCTCAAGCCGAAAGATTTCAAGAGAAACGCCCACCCGCGCGAAGTGAAGATTTCTATGGGCAAAATGTCGAATAATGCAGGGAGCATCAAAAGAAGATGCAAGGACTATTCAGTCACAGTACCAAAAATAATTGGTTGATGTTCAACCAAGGGGTAGCATATGGTCAAGAACTGATGGTATTGAAGGGAGAAGTTTAAGCTGCTTTGAAGGCATTAGTGAAAAAAAGGTTCCAGGCATTGGCAGAACACCAGTTGTAATATTTCAACAAATTGGTGCAATGCTGGAAACACACATCTAATGCCAAGATATTTAGAAAACACCATAAATGGAGATGGGATTGAAGTTGTTGAGAATTTTGTTTTACCTTAATCTATAATAAACACCCATAGAATCAATATTTAGGAAATCAAAGGATGTATTGCACTACACACATTAGGTGCAAAAGATCTCTTTAAAATGTTAAAACTAAGGTGCACCTGACCCTAGCCATGGAAGTTTCAGTCTATTCATATGCACGCAAATGCTGGTCGATGTCAGGAAGCCCCCAGAAAAATGGCTGGATTTGAATGTGCTGTTGAAGACTACTCAAAGGACCACAGAGTGCCAGCTGAACGAACAACTGTGCTAGAAGAAGTACAGCTAGAAATGTTCCCCAGATGTGAACAGGGCAAGACTCCCTCTCACGTCCTCGGGGCGTGTTCTCAGGAGATACCGGGTCCAGGAGAAGAAGGACATCTCGTGTAGTTAAGTCGAGGGTCGGTGAAAAAGAAGACCCTTCATGAGATGGATTGACCCAGTGACTACAACATGGGCTCACAAGGAACACCTGTGAGGATGGCACAGGGTCAGCCGGGTGTCGTTCCGCACATACAGTCACTGAGTCCGAACTGACAGCCATTGCCTTTTCATTAAAGATGGAGGAGGAGCCACACACATCCGGTGGCTTACTGAGACTGTCTAGCTGATGGTCCCAGGCCAGTTCCAACTGGAATGTGGCTGTTTTCCTACCAACAGAGATGTAATCCCTTCTCCAAGACATGCATGCCCCATCTTGACTTGAATTTCCGGTAAGGTTCATTGATCACTCTGGTAGAAGTGTCTATTGATTTGGGGTGACCTTAGCACAATGTTGTAAGGCAGCAACTGAATAGTCTTCTCCCCCTTCCTCTCCCATAATGCATAACTGACCCAACAGAGGTGAGGTCTCCTCTGTTGAAATGGTTTTTTAAGAAGCACATACAGAGCGATAAGATGCTTCATGGGCGATAGGCAGGCCGTCTATCTCGTTGCTTGGGAGACCCGGATTAGATGATTACACAACCTGAGAGCAGAAGTCTCCTTTCATCTTGATATTTATCCTTATAGAAATAGAATCAGTCAATATTTGTCCGTTTGTGGTTGACTGACTTCAAGTAGCTCTTCTTGGCAACTTTCCTTTTGCAGCTGAGGAAATTTAGATAGAGAGGTTAAATAACTAGCCCCACTCACACGGTGGAAAAATGGCAGAGCTGGATACAAACGCAGGTATTTTGGTACTAGAGACTCTCTCCTTTTTTAACTTCAGTTTACTGCCCCTCCTACAGGACCTGACCGGGTGCCAGTAAACTGTGGAAGGGGTCTTGTTTGTCATAAAGTACATGGAGCATTTTTAATTACGTTTTCTTTCTTCCTTTAGCATGCAATGATGTTGCCAGTTCTGACCCATCATATCCGGTACCATCAGTGCCTGATGCACCTGGATAAACTGATAGGATATACTTTCCAGGATCGTTGTCTGTTACAGGTAAGAACGATTCCCCTGTAAAAGCTCACAAGAGTGAGATCGGAGCAGTTTATCCTGCAAGTTACAAATAGTGCCCTGGATTCTCTACCCTGTGCAGGGAGGAGGACGTTCGGAAGCAGTGGTCTTGGACCCCACCCTGGGTGCCTCTGTCGCCCCTCTCCCTTTTTTTTTTTTAGAGGGTGTCTCCAGAGACGTAGAGTATTGCTGAGATTTCTATTTCAAACTCTGTCCGCTCAGGCCTGAGTGTTCTAATTCATTGCTGAAAGAAAGATGGTGTTTGGGGTGGGTGGGGAGTGGGGGGTGTTAGATTTGCCTTCAGAGGAGAAATTACACCAGAGCCCAGGAAAACTGACTCTGCGGGAGAGAAAATGGAAAGCAAACCAAGCTTGCTCCCATGTAGTTGACCCCGACGCACAGCAAGCCTATAGAAGTGTCCGGAGTGTTTCCAAGGCTGTAAATCTTCAGGGAAGTGGTCCACAGCATCTTTGTCTCATGAGGGCTTGGTAGGTTTGAACTGCTGACCTTTTTGGTTGCCAGCTGAGTGCTTTAACCAGGCTCCTAAAATGGAAAGATTGGGGTTAAAATTGGACCAGGTAGACAGATCCCTTTCCATTTCATTTGGAGTGATTTATAAAAAGAGGTTATTTTTAGTGGTTCATCTGTGCGAAAATTTGAAGACTGAGGTTGTTTCCGTGCAATTTTAGCTGGCCATGACCCATCCGAGTCATCACTTAAATTTCGGGATGAATCCTGATCATGCCAGGAATTCGTTGTCTAACTGTGGGATCCGGCAGCCCAAATACGGAGACAGAAAAGTTCATCACATGCACATGCGGAAAAAAGGTAGGTTGCGAGGGCCCTAAAAGAGGCCCTGTCTGGTCCGGCTTTTATCCCCTCCCTGGGAGTGGCTCCCTGGGTGGCTGCTGCCTCACCTCGTCCCCCCAGTGCTGCCTGGCTCACAGGTAGTAACGACGCTTCCTGTGAGCAAGGTACAAGGATGATAACGTTAGTAGCAGTTGGAGAAAAGGTTCTTCCTCTGATGGAGTGCTTTCAATTAGTTCCTCCAGTTTTTAGACATGCACAGATTAATTCTTCTAATGTCAAATGGGGATGAGTTGGAGAATTATCTTTCTGCGATTCGTGTGTTGCTCCTACTGTGCTTCTCCCAGTATTGATTTATACACATGCATTTTATCTTTTCTTTTTAATAGGAATAAACACCTTAATAAATATTATGTCACGCCTTGGCCAAGATGACCCAACTCCTTCAAGGTGAAGTACTTTTTTTTTTTTTTGAGAGGGTGAAGGTGTAACAACATTATTGAGATAAAATTCACATACCCCACCTGCTTTAAGTGTGCCATTCAGTGCTTTTCACTGTTTACAAAGCTGCTCATCCATCACCATAATCTGTGTGTGAACATTTTGTCACTCCAGAAAGAAATCCATACCCAGTAGCAGCCTTCCCCATTTCCCTGCCACCCATCCAGCCCCGGACAGTCACTCATCACCTTCCAATCTTGGTGGATCTGTCTGTTGTGGGTGCTTCATATTAAAGGAATCATCCACTAGATTGTTCTTTGGGACTGGCTTCTTTTGCATTAGCCTAATGTTCTCTGGGCTCAGCCATGTATAACATGTATCAGGACGTTATTTCTTTTTATAACAATAACCAAAACTCACTGCCATTGAGTTCCATCCGACTCCTAGAGACCCTATAGGCCAGCCCCCGAAGTGGTTGGTGGTTTCAAACTGTTGATCATGAGGTCAGCAGACCATTTGTAACGTACTGTGGATGAATATTTGAGTGTGTCCACTTTGAGGCTATAATGAATAATGCCACAAGAATATTTGTGTGCAGGTACGTTTCTGTGTGCATATAGGTTTTGATTTCTCTTGAGTGTGTACCTAGGTGCGGATTACTGCACCATATGGTAACTGTGCTTGACCTTTTAAGCCACTACCAGGCTGTTTTCCAAAGTGGCAGCTTCGTTTCACATTCTCACCAGCAGCATATCAGGGATCCAGTTTTTTCCATATCTCCACTGACACGTGCTATTATCTCTCTTTTGGATGATAGCGCTCCATGTGGGTGTGAAATGTTTGTGGTTTTCATTTGCATATCCCTGATGGTCAATGATGTAGCACATATTTCATGTGGATTATTGGGCCATTTAAATATCTTCTTTGAAGAAAGATCTATCTTTCTCATAGCTAAATTGGGCTTTATTTTTTTAATTGGCTTACAGTTTTCCGTGAGTCTGGATGAAGCCCTTGCAGATGCATAATTTGTACACGTTTGCTCATCCTGTAGGTCAGCTGTCTTTTCACTTTCTTGATATCTTTTGATGAACAAAGTTTCTAATTTTGATGATGCCTAATTTATGTTTTCCTTTTGTTGCTTGTGCTCTTAAAGCCGTGTTGAAGAAATCACAGCCTATGCTTCTTCTAAGCGTTTTCAAGTTTTAGCTCTTACATGTAGGCCTTTGATCCATTTGCGTTCACTTGTGCCTGTGATGTGATGGAGGGATCATGCAGCTGCAGTCGTTTGCATGTGGAAGCCCTGTCATCCCCGCACCGTGCTTGTAGAAGAGAGGATTCTTTCCCCCACTGGATTGTCTTGGTACCCTCATCCGAAATCCACCGACTGTAAATGTGGGTGTTGTTTGTGCACTCTCGATTCCACTGCTAGGTCTGTCCTTATGCCAGTACCGTACTGTTAGCATTGCTGCAGCTTTGTGGTCAGTTGTTAAGTTGAGAAGTATGAGTTCTCCTACAAACGGGGCTCCTCCGGGTCCCTTGTATTTCCACATGGATTTTTGGATCAGCGTGTCACTTCCTGACCCGTACACAAGTCAGCTCAGCTTTTGTTAGGGGTTATGTTGGATCCGTGGACCGGCTTGCGAACTGTTGCTCTGTCACCAAGAGCTGCTGTGAGTTGGAATCGAGTTGGATGGCACTCAGCTACCGCCATGGAATGTCTTGGGATCCATGACCATGGAATGGCTTTCCCTTCTTAAGTCTTTTTCGGTTTCTTACAGCAATGACTGTACTGCTCAGTGTGTAAATTTTACATGGTTTCTATTAAATTTGTTCCTCAGTATGTTATTCTTTTTTTGATACTAAAGTGGATTGTTTTCTTAATTTCATTCTCATATGGTTCATTGAATGTACATAGAAATACACTATGCTTATTGATCATGTAGTCTACAACTTGTTGAACTCACGTATGTGTTCCCATCATTTTTAGTGGATTCCTTAGGATTTTCTATGTGCATGATCTTGTCATCTGCAAATGGAGATCATTTTACTTCTTCCTCGGCGGTCTGATGCCATTTATTTCTTTTTCTTGCCTGCTTACCCTGGATAGACCCTTGAATTGAAGTGGCAAGAGCAGACATTCTTGCCTTTTTCCTGATGTGAGAGGAAAAACAATGCTGTCTCTGGGTTCTTCGTAGGTGCCCTTTATCAGGTTGAGGAAGTTCCATCTCTATCTCTTTTTATCATGCATTGGTGTTGAATTTTGTCAAATTATTTTTCTGCATCTGTTGAGAACATTGCCCCCAACCCTTAAAACAACCTGCAAGCCCGGGAAAAAACCCAACTGGGGGTGACATAATCCTCTTTCGATTTTGCTGGGTAACGTTCTGGTTTATTGTTGAGGATTTTTATATCTACTTTCACAAACACTCTTCTGTAGTTTTCTTGTGAGGTCATTGTCTGCTTCCAGTATTAAGTTACAATCCAATGAGTTGGAAAGTAACGTAGTAGCTTTCGTTATTTGATTTCTTAATGTAAAAAGATAACCACTCATCTATGAAGAATGTCTGTGTGCCTTGAGCCCCTGAAGAACCGAGGAAATGGGCAAGCTCTCAGCGAGCCCTTTACCGCCCTTGGGGCGCTGACTGGAAGCAAATGCTTCATGACTCTGAGGCCGCCTTGCTGCTTTCTAGAGGGCTGTCCTGGGGGGTGAAGCACAGGAG